AATTCTCGTGTCACAGTTTTCGTTCCCATACTCCTCCGAAACGGCTTGACCGATTCTCGTGAAATTTTGTGAGAGTATTGAGTAAGTCTGAGAATCAGCCAACATCTATTTCATCATATATTTCATCCCCCTAAATGTTAGGGGTAGTCCACCCCTATTTTTTTTTTATTTTAAGGCAAAACGTTTGCCGGGACAGCTAGTAATCATATACAAAAGTCACCATCCACCGTTATCATGATTTGGCCGTATCATCACTTAACATCAGCTGAGATTGCGGTCAAAAGTTCTCAAATTTTAATATAAAAAAAAACTACAATATTATTTATTGGCAGTAGACAATAATATATTGCATAAGGTACTGTCACCAAAACCATTGTCACTGTCACCATGTCTATGCAATATTTCGGTAAATAATTATAATACGAATTTCAAGATTCATCTTTACAAAACATTTGAAGTGATTTCATTTTTTTATTAATAATGATATTTACCTTGTAATCATCTTGGTATATTAATACATTTCCAAACACAACTGGACAACAGATACACTGAAAAAAAAAAGTTAAAGAATAAAAAACAAACAAATTACATCCTACTAAATAAGAATTTTGACTTGATTTGATTCAAGAGGATTCAAGAAGAGATTCAAGAGGTCAAGAGCTTAACTATGTTACATATAGTTGCAAATGAAACCGCAACATCTTTATATAATACTAGCTAGCCGCCCCGGTATCGCCCGGGTGTACATGTATTATACATATAAACCTTCCTCTTGAACCTCTATCTATTGCTAATTGCTGTATTAAATTCCGTTGCGTTGCGTTTATAAGATCTAAGGGTCGTTCCCACATCATCATCATCATCATCGCAGCCCGGAAGACGTCCACTGCTGGACATTTTATACCACATAAAGAATATAAAATAACAATATAAACATTACACCGTAATGCGGCGAAAACTGTCTGTATATGTGTTCTATTCTATGAACATATAATATAAACACAATTAGAGAAATTAAGATGAAATTAACATATTGTATATTGTTCATTATTGGTGAACATATAGGTTAAACAGAGCTGACAAAAATCTTCAAAGATGTAAATAAATTTATTTTGTAAATACTTTCGTCATATATTATTAAGTATTCACTCGTGACCACCTATATATAAGACTAACTGACCCATGCAACTTCGTCTGCGTTTTATCTCCTATTGGTCGTAACGTAATGTTATATAGCTTAGAGCCTTCCTCGACAAATGGACGCGATAAAATAACCAAACAAACTCTTGAGCTTTATAATATTAATAATAATATAGATACAACAAATAAAATTCTTTCCAACACACTTGTTCGTAAAATGGATCAAATTTCACCGATTTTCGATACATAAAGCAGTTTATAAAACACGTGTGCGTTATATACGCAAATAGTGAACTTATATTCCATAATCACACCATTTACTTCTTCTTCTTTATGTACCGTCTCCTAATGGAGGTTGGCGATCATCCTGGCGATCTAAATTTCGTCCACCGCTGTTCTGAACAAGGATCTGGTGCTAATCCCAAACCACTGCCTTAGATTCTTTAGCCATGAAGTACTATTTGCTATTTTGTTCAATTACGAACTGGCAGCCGCGCGTCGCCAGCCAGAAGGCAAGTTGATATAAAACAGTAAAATAGCGGAAAAGAAACAGTTTTATGGTTGAAATTATTTAGAATCAAATGTGTTGTAAAACATCATAGGATATACGCGCGTAGACACTCTGCTCGATTACGCCCTCACCTTTGACCTGCGCTGAATTTCCGCCTCGTTATAACCATCATAACGCACTTATATCGTAATATACTGAATTTAATTAATTTATTAATAAATATGTCTTATTTACTATTAGCTGTGTCCGTGACTTCTACCGCATGGAATATTGACTTTTAGTGGCAATTATGTACTTAGGCTACTTGTAAAAAGTCAAAGTCAAAAAAGTTTCATCGTTCTAATTTCAAAAATTTCTTTTTTTAACTTTCCATACAAACTGTCATCCCTTATTTTGTTTTATCTCCTTAAGCGTAATTTTTTTGCAAACTATGAATATCATATTTATTTATATTTAATCACCAATCTTAAAAATAGGTTTCAAGCTTCTAGCTTTAAAAATGGCGATGCTTCCATACAATGCTTTAAAAATGACGATACTTCCATACAATCTTTCATTTCCCCTTTCAACTCCTTACAACCCTTTTTTGCATTAAAAATAGCCTATATCCTTTCTCAGGGTGTAGACTATCTGTGTACCAAATTTTATTTTAAATGGGTTATGTAACCCACTTAAATGAAATTTGGTACACAGATAAAAATAAAAAAAAAAATGGTTAGTATGCCAAAATAAAAGAAATTTGGTTAGTATGCCAAATAACCCATTAAATGAGGTTTGGTAGTTTTGGCGTGAAAGCGAGACAGACAGACTTAGTTACTTTCGCATTTCTAATATTAGTAAGCGTTTGATCAGCATTACTAGAGAGCATCTACAAATGTACAATGATAGCGCTTTGTCTTTGTACATTTGTAGATGAAATCTACTACTAAATATGGCTTTTTGTGCTTGATTTTAGTGACTTCGTGCACCATGTATGTACATTTGTAGATGCTGCCACCTACGTGGTATAAAAAGTAGTCCCAAGCTATGATGCACTTATGTCATGCGTACTAGATGCCTGATAGGAATACTTAAACACATTTTTGTAATGTGTTTAAGTATTACACATAGAAAATACTCATACTGATACAAACAAACGTACTCATGAACATAAATATATATAAAGAATCGAACACGCGACTATCGAAAGTAAAGCGGTGTGCTAAACCACTACAGCGCCTAAGCAATCTATATATGGTTAGTTCATACAAGTAATGTTAGTGTATTAGTTAAATTTGAACTCGAAATGCTTACCAAACGTGGTAAAGGAGACACAATCGTGACAAAGGCCCACAAATGGAAGTTCACGTACATGTAAGATCTACATAATATTGAATAAGTAGAATATAATGCAATATATTTTAATTAACTCGTTTTACACAATTATGACATAAGAAATAAAAGCAACAATATACACTTTAAAAAACAGAGTCAATGTGGAACACATCTCAGTATACTGCTAGAAACAGTTTAGGGCGCTGAAGTTTAGTTGCGCCCACAGTACATACAGATACAAATTACAAATAATATATATGTACATATTAAAATTTATAAAGCAGATAATATACAAATAAAAAATAATAATGATTGTAAGCAATTAGATAATAATAACATTGCCACAACCTTTCGGATTGTTTTCAGAGATAGAAACGAGCCTACAGCCCTCCTTCAGATACAATCTTCATGTCCAATAAAACTAAATTCCGTTCAGTCGTTTTGTCGTTATAATCTAACAAACAAACAGACCGACAGATAGGCGTACATACTTTCATATTTATGATATTAATATGGATTTAATTGATTACTAAGGTCTAAATGGGGAAGGCACTGAAGAATAGCAATATTTATTACAGGTCATAATTGGAATTGTAAGTACTTAAAGGAATTAAAGAAAAGAGACAGATACCATAAATATTATTGAGAATAGGCGGGGAAAATGTTGGGGTATTTGATATGATACGACGAAATTATTAATAATATTATCGAAGGAAAAATAGATTGAAAGAAAGGAAGAGGAAGACCAAGACACAGATATACCAAGCAAGTTAAGAAAAAGGTTGTAGTCTCGTCGTATCGACTACTAAAAAGATTGATAGAAGATTATGGAAGGTGGCGAGAGCTCCACCGACAAGAGTACAGCTTTTCAATTATGAATAAGTGATTATTAAGTAATAAGTCTTTAATATTATCTATCTATAGTCTTACTGAATGTCATAATAAATTCATTTATTACACTATAATACCTCTCGCTAAATATGCAAATATAAAACTTATATAAAAAGAAAATTGTGTAAAGCAGTAATCTGAATTAGGACCTTAATAATGTTCAAACTTAAAATTTAAATAAATATGGTCAAATTTCGTACACTGGGCTACTACTACCAACAAACTTCTTTAAATATTTATACATGTTAAAGACAATATTTTAATTTATTTTAAAGTTTAGATTTTCTCAAGCTTATATTGTTCTTGTTCTCAAGATTGTCTATGAAAGATCATTCAGTTATTTCTCCATCTCAATTTTATTTCGCAATTGAACAACACTAGTCTTAAATGAAACAGTAAATAAAAACAATAATATTGATTAATATAAAATTTAATAATGTAATACATTAAACATCTACTTAATTTGTATACACTTTTGGATTACAATGAATAAATAATACTTCAAATTTTGAAAGCGAAAAAATTGTTAGTTTGTTTTTTATGCTTTGGAGTATGCTATTAAAAAAACAATTGAAATTATAACTAGTGTCACATATCTAAAGTATAATTATTAAATTAAGATAATTTTAATATATTATTATTAATACTAATACAAGTAGAGTTATATATTGAGTATGATGAAAAATAAGATGCAAATTACAGTAAATGAATACATGAGAAAATTATACAACTACTACAAACGTTGTCCTAACCAAGCGAGGGCTGAGATTTTACTCCAGTTCGTCTGAGTCTGGATTGGTAATGAAATATGATGTCAAAATATTATTACTATTAAAATACTTTAAACGAAATATTACTAATAGACATTCCATTATAACTACGAGTATAAATGTAATACTTTTTAAAGCGCATGCAATTGATTAAAGAAAAGCAAAATTAAATATATATTCGATAAAAGATGTATATAATCGTAATGTACTTAATACATTGAAAAGCATTATTCGAGAAAAAAAGAGATTCGAGACAAAATATACTAAAAAGTAATGTCAACACATTGACTATTACAGTTATAAAAAGAACTGAGAAACATGAGACGAGAAAAACACTTTATTGTGAGATTACTGGTCTCCAATCTTCATAGATCTTAATTTGCTTTAGGAGCTCTATCTGTCAATTCTATCATATTTTCAGTTTCCACAGATGTATCTCTTACGCTCGATGGATCACTGGTTTTTACATAAAATATATCTCTTAATCTCGATCCTACGCTTCTATTCACACTCGTAGGAGTAGTCTCAGTAATTTTACTGCTATGATTTATATTCAATTTATCCAGCCACATATCTCTGGTTTTTTTATTGGCTACTACAATAAAAATAAATAGCACAAAACCTTGTAAAGTTACAGTGCAAGTAAAGATATAAGTAGCTATAAGATAGTTAGCAAAAATGCCAAATAACCAGGGCAAACCGAATAAAAATACAAGAAAACAACTAACGCGCGCGCTCCTAATAGCTTCTTTTGGATCTCTATGCGCCTGTATGTTCCTAGATGCAAAAACAGAACGAACTATTAAGATAAATAGTATCGTGTTTGATACCAATATAACAACAACAGGTGCGTAGACTGCCAACCAAAGTCCGAGGCCGGATGGATAACAAAATTTACCACTGGGGGACTTGTCTTCAAATTGTCCCGCGTAAGAAAGTGGATCTACTCCAAAGAGAATACCCACTATAACAATTGGTGCTCCCCATGAAAAAGCAGAGGCTTTTAAAAGTTTTCGAGAAACGTCTGTAGTAAAAACTACAACCAGTTTTCTATATGTTATTACAGCGGATACCAACATCCAACAGAAAGATTTCAAAACTGAATAATGCAATACTGCACCTACAATCATACACTGAATATCATATTCATCTACCTTGACAAGTACTACAAAGATAAAACAAAGAGATATAAGGAATATTGCAAAGCACAATTGTAGCCAAATTTTGTTACCGAATTCTTTTCGCCATGCTGGAAATACTAGCGCTGTAAGCATAATTACAGTTACACCAAATAAAGAAAGACCACACCCTATTATGGATAGTATTTCTAGTATATCCTCGTTGCGTTTTGAAAATAGTGTCCGCGGAACGAGAACTTCGGCGAAATGCGTCAAATGGTTGCAACGGCAAATATCCATAACTCCGGGCTTAGTTTTGACAAAGGTACAACCCTCCGTGGACCAGTATCCAGTGTCATTTTCTAGAAACTTCCAGTAGGCGCAATTCCGAACAGAGCCGCGGGGTGGTCGTTCTATGAAAGGTCTTAGGTGAATGTCTATCACCTAAGAAATTAAACATTAGATGATATTTCCAATTTACTTACTAAAAACTATCCTTAACAAGTTGTAGTGCTTTAATAATTTCATTCAAATGAAGAAACTCGATTAAAAAATAAGCAATAAATAGTCTAATAACAAATTGAGGTTTATTAGACGATTGACATGGTTATAAGGGTGATATAATTATAATTCGTATTAATTTTTACGATTCGTATCGGTGTTAAAAACATTTGTTTCCATTTCTTTAATCTGTGTGGTGAAGTAGAAGTATAGATTTTACTGAACTTACCTCTCCATTCTCAAAAGTGGTCACATTGTCAATATTAATATCAACTACTACGCTATTAACTGTAAGGCTGCTGTTCGTATTCTCATGGAATAGTCCCTCTTCGAATACGATGAAACTAATGCGATGCGGTGATTTATTTATTGATTCAGGTAATAGAACCACAACTTTAGAATCATTATCCAAGAACTCTTCACGATTTGATTCCTCTGAAAAATTAAAATGCATATATAGCATCTTTTCTTCTTTACATATAATAATATCCTAAAATCGTAGTAAGGCAAAATCCGTCTGCTTTTTGTTTCACTTTGTACAAAGTCTACGAAGGTGAAACTTTATAGTCCCAATGTAGTGATGGATTACATAATGTTTAAACCAGGAATATAAAGGTATTCTGCGCCCAGAATTCCAGCTTTTTCAAACATTTCTCTCTTCGATATATATATGTCGCAAAGCAGATTTTTTTTTATAATACAAGGGACAAACTAGCATGCGGCTCACCTGATGGTAAGTGATTGCCGCCGCCCATGAGCACCCGCAACACCAAGGGAATTGTCAGTATGTTGTCGGCGTTTTAAAAAGGAATAAATTGAAGGTTTCAATATCGTATCGGTTCGGAAATATCATTGCTGGAAGATGATTCTACAATTTGTTTCCACGATTGTGCGTGGCAAAAAGTTTCTAGAAAACCGCACTGTGGAAGACCGCCATTCATCCAGATGATCAGGATGGTATTTCAGTTTCTGGCGGGTGGTACGGTGGTGAAACTCAGCAGCTGGTATTAATCCGAACAATTCCTGAGAACACTCCCCGTGATATATTCGGTAGAAAATGCACAGAGATGCAATATCTCACCGCAAAGCCAATGGGTCGAGTCTGTCACATAGACGTTGATTACCAATGATTCTGGCTGCTCGGTTTTGAATGCGGTCAAATGGAAGTAGCTGGTATTGTGGTGCTCCCGCCCAGAGATGAGAACAGTATTCCATATGCGGCCGGATCTGCGCCTTGTATAATTGCAAGCGATGGGCCGCCGTGAAATACCGTCTCACTCTACTGAGTACACCAAGCTTTTTTGAGGCTATTTTAGCCTTGTCTTCCAAATGACCGCAAAACTGAACGTCACTGGATATATCAATGCCAAGGACCTCGAGATTGGACTTCACATCAAGGAGAGTGGCTTGAAACTGAGAAGATACTATAAATGGAATCTTTTTAGCGTAAACGCGCAAACTTGTGTCTTCGTGAGGTTGAATTGAACACAATTTTCCTGACCCCAACCCGAAACTTGATGGAGTGAAGTTTCGATTTCAGACACAAATTTATTCCGATACTCTATAATTTTTGCCTGCGACATATTAGCATGGCCGCTGTACAAGGCATCTCCGGTACTGTCATCCGCATAGCAATGAATGTTGTTGATTTGTAACATGTCATTGATATGTAGAAGACTCCGACTCTGTTCGGAGATAGCACACAGCCTTGTGGAACACCAGCATTCACAGAGTGTGGGTCGGAGCAAGCACCATCGACAACGATCTTGATGCTCTGATCAGCGAGAAAGCTGGTGACCCATTTTCATAACTTCGCAGGCAACCCGAAGGATGGTAGCTTTGAAAGAGGAGCTTTGTGCCAAACCCGATCAAAGACCTTCGCAATAATCAGAGTTACAGATAGGGCCTCAGTAGCAGTACCGGAAAAGACGCGTTAGTACCGGAGTCAACTCAGGTATACACGTCCTAAGCACAATAGCAGGAATACCGTCAGGCCCACTTGACTTGTTGTGGATATCTAGGGAGAAAAGAAACCTACGTTTTTACCTCTGGCATAAAAGTCTCACACCGCGAGGTGACCGGTGGTGATTACTCCCTATCGTCCAGTGTCGAGTTGGATGCAAAAAGAGACCCAAGGAGATCGGCTTTCTCTTTAGCATGTTGGGCCAACGAGTTATCCTCTCTGCGCTGTAGTGGAAAAGATGGCTGACAGAAATTTTCCTGAGCAGCTTTGGCAAGAGACCAAAAAGCCCGGGATCCAGATGGAAGGCTGTTCAGTCTCTTACCAATTCTGCTGATATGCTCCGACTTTCTTGTGGCTATAACTCTTTTGAAGGACCTGGAAGCGAAGTTATACTTTCTTTTATGGGCACTGGTATCTGGATCACTCGACTTCACAGCTACAATCCCGGCACGGAAGCATTCCTGCTTATGGCGAGACGCCGATCTACAGGATCCGCCATACCAGCACTGAGATCTACCACCGACAGGTACCTGGGAATTTTGAATAAACATCTCCATTCCCTGAAGTATTACATCTATGACAGATTCAGCTATTACATCAGGATCGTTCAGTGCGAAGCAAATCAGAGCAGAAGCAAACTCGCCCCCATGGGTAAGATGCAAAAAAACTTCGCATCTTATCCCAATCTGCCGACTTAAAATGCCAAACACGACGTCGACCAGTAGATCGTGGCAAAGAAGTGTTCCAATTCATATCCAGGATAGGTCAGGTACGAAATTTCGTCGGGACAGGATATTTGCGTCTCCGTAAGGAAGAGCAAAGCCGGCCTCGCCGTCTCTAGGTGGTGGTGGACGGCGTTGAGATTGGAATGAATTCCCCTGATGTTGCAAAAACTTACTATAAGCAAGGAAACGCCGATGGAGATTTGCTCGGTTTCCTTTTGGCCAAATTTAGCGGAGTATTGCCCACCCCAGAATACGTAGGGCAGCCTGGGTGTGATCTCTCAGAGGTGGATTCTCTAGTAACATGGTTACTGGTACCACCCTGGGGTAAAAATCTCTTATATTCCGCTGCCATGGTATGTAAGAAAGGGTGGGTGGGGAAGGAAGTGGGAAAGGGCTAGGAGGAGGGGGAGGTGGCGTCCGGAACCTACAGCTCACCATGCGAAACGCGTTATCGCTTAACGCCGGTTTTCTGCCGAGGTGTGGTATTTCCCGGTTCGAGCGGCCCAATCGAGCTGAACAACCACGTGTGGTCGTACAGCTTGCTCTTCCACTTATAAATATAAGATTGCTCTGTAAGCTATATTTTCGGTTGAAGGGTAAGATCAAACTCTTTAACGAAATATATACCTATATAAATCTGCTCTACAACAGTGAAATTAGAGGGTACAAAGCATGGGTACCATTATTAACTTCACATGATGCCGTGAAGTAAACGGTGTACTCATGAGTATTGTTGCTTGTATTGTACAGGGTACAATTATCTATGTATTCACAAACAATTGCCACAATCGTAGCATAAAAAAAAACAACGTTTAAGTATATGTATTAGTTGTCTAGTATCCATAACACATGCTTGGGACTAGTTGACGCTGTGTGAATCAGTCCTATAGTATCGTTTTCGATTAAAGTTTTAAAAAAGAAAGTAAAGCTAAAAATATTTATTGTATTGATATGAAATTATCTTTTTAAACTTACCAGTCAAGAATTTATAATTACTTTTGGTATCGTTCAAGTCAGTATTCTTTATGTACCGGAATCCTCTGATCGGATGTTCTGGTGTAGCATCAGCTATCAAGAATGTTATATTATGACTGCTGTTTATTACGGTTTTTAATCCATTCAAATGTACCTTTGAACTGTAAACGTCGAATATGTATAACAAATCAGCAGGCGGTTGATCGTGAAATTTAATAGCGTTTATAATAGCATTGGTTAACTGAAAATTAAAAAGAAATGTTAAACCAATTTAAACCAATACAGTTTTAAACTGCTTTCATCTTTGTTTACATTAGTACACATAATTTGAACATATTCGAGACATTTCCGATTATTATTTATGTGATATTTTGATGATCTTTGATTTAATTTTATTAGTATCTAGTATAACAAATGGACTTATTTTTAATTGCTCATAGTTATTATTTTTTAATAATAATAAGAATTGATTTAGTAAACACTATTGCTTTTTTAAATATATTTTTTTTTTATATAACACAGGGGAGAAACGAGCATGCGGCTCACCTGTTGGTAAGTGATTACCGCCGCCGATAAGCACCCGCAACACCAGGGGAATTGCAAGTACGTTGTCGGCCTTTTAAAAAGGATTAACTTAAATAAATAAATTATCGAATTTTTCATACTGATCTCTATCGTTTTATTTATTTTATGATCTATGTTTATCAGGGATAATGTAGAATTCTAATTTTTGTAATCGGACATTAGTTTCGGAGCCTATATTTAATGCAAGTAAACAATCAAATCTTGCCTCTCTATAATATATATTATATATATTCAGTGCAAACGAGCATTAGAACTTTAAATCCGAATTTATTGTAATACTTACATAATCAAGTTGAATTTCTGAGTAATTTGTTGGTTCTCGAAAAACGTTTACAAATGCATATATCATACCTCCAATATCCGAGTGAGGCTAAAATAAAATAAAAATATTACAAATGTTATATTATACTTTCATTTTCTACATAACTGTATTATTTCAGCAAACCCGCCATCGTCCGCTATCTTGAAACGCCCAGTGTATAGAATTTAGACTGACATTTTATTTATCGTATTGTGAGCAAGCCCTCGTATTGCTCATTCTTCTTGTGATAAAACTGCGCTCCGAATGAATAAGACAAATATGACTATTCAAAATTGCTTATTGATTTTATTTAGTAATTGAATGAAAAACTATATTGAGTTTATTTGTATAAAGATTATTTCTATTTCTTATACAGCAACACACATAACATGTGACGTATATAATTCACCAGTCTCGCTGTAATTTGGTTTGTATTTGTTTTTCGGCTGGTTTACCCACTGTTACACTAATTTAAAATGTAACCATCGAACTTTTTAATCTCAAGTATTGCATCCGCAAAGATTACAAGTTTATTCTTAGAATGCTCTTTATTACTTTTGTAATATAACCAATATACAACTAACAACACCCGCCGGCTTTGCAGCGATATACAATGACATAGAATGATGTATTGTTGAATCAAAATTATATTACCTTTATCCCCAACGAAGAATTTGTTATCGATCTCCGGTTTCTTATTACTCCTGAGTCCTCTTTTCTATTACAAATATTCCGCTTGTTTCTCACCTTACAGCATGGACACTAAAAATTAATAGAAAATAATAATTATTTATGTAAAAAAATATTATTATTAAAAGCATATTTATTTGCAAAAATAATGTTTACTATGTATCTACGATGACTTTACCATGCAAGATGGTCTAGCGGTATAGCACACCGCTTCACTTCCAATGGTCGCGGGTTCGATTCCTCGCATGGTACATATATTTTTATTCATTTCAAGTATGCTTGTTGTCCAGTATTATTAATTTTTTTTTGTAACCAATCAAATATCCTTATTTCGTAGTAGTCACAAAGGTATTTACCTTCGAGATATCTTCAGCAATCATTAAAATATCTCCAACTACAGTGACACAGCACGGGCACTGAAATAAAAAAAAATTGTATTAAAAATGCTGAACATTAATAAAAGAAATATTAGAAATGATAGACAAAATTCCAGCAACATTTTCAGTTTAACTTTCCTAATATTATTGGCCATATACATATAACTATATTTATAAATGTAAAACCAAAACCTTTGTTAGTAGTTTACTAAAATTATGTCAAAGCAACTAATTATTTAATGAAGCAATCAATAAATAATAAACAAAGAAACGAAGTTCTAATAAAATGTACATTCTTTCATATTTCTCTTCGTGTTCACCATCACTTGACTCGTAAATTTCAATGGTAAACAAAATACTGTTACCATTCAAAATTAGAACATTAGGTTATAAAATTTATGTTTGCATATAAAAAAAGTAATATCTGTTGTATGTATATTACAAAAAATGGTGTCTTTATTAGAGTAAAAAATAAACCAAAATAACAGTTTTTTTAATTTAAGTTTGTCTGTTTGTATAGGCTCACACAACTACATCATGCAATTCAATACAGTTTTCAACAATGTATTGATACAGTTAATTTAAAATGTAGTTCCCATTTTATACTCAATAATATAATAATATATCAGTAACTTAATAAAATAAGAATGGGCAGATTGAAGTCCAATAAAGTAATAGTTACAAATCAGGCAAAAAAAATATTCAACAGAAATAGTGATATTTGTATAAATAATAAGTTAATTGTATAAATTCAAATTCAAAAGTATATTGGAGAATATTACGTATTTCTCAGTTATATATTATGGCCAGTGAAATAAAATTAAGCAATTTTGCTTCTGTATACTGGCAAAAGATAAATTACGTTAAGTTCGACTAAAAAGGACTTATATATTATATTAGAGCCGTAAAACATATTAATAAAAAAAATGAGAAAACAAAAGAGTATCAATGTCAATCAAGATTTCAAACATTCTGTACGTTTGAAAATATATAAAAAAGAAATAATCACAAAGTATAAATAAAGAGGTTCAATCTTGAAAATCAACATATTCAGATGACAATGCTTATTTATGTTATTTATATTATATATTAAATACAATATATTTCTGATTCTATAATTTCTTTGGTTCTCAAATTGCAGAGTTATACAATAAATTAATTAGCTATTCAGAAAAATTATAATATTAGTGTTTGAACTCGCGTTTATTATTGAAATTGTTACTGATTAACTTAAATTAATTAGCTCTAAGAAGAAAATCTAGTACAAAATAATATTAGTGCTGTATCCCACCACAATATTAAGTTTTAGTGTTATTAATAAGAATAGTGCATTTACAAAAACAGTACAATAGTATGAAGATATGAAGTAAAAAAATAATTGAACATCACAAAAAGAAATAGATAAATAAGAAAATTATCATTATATTGCAACTGCAGCATACGCTTGATAATAAAATATAAGTTAAAAATGGTAAAAATTAAAAAATGTATACATAATAAAGTTGTTACAATTAGGAAACCTGTGTAGGCCGCAGTAACACCATATGCTTGCACCATTGCTGTTTTGTCACCAAATAAGTGAAACACGTGTAATCCCGTAACCAGGTTAAAAATACATAGGTAGTAATATATACTATATTAGACATTAGTAGTAGAGTTAGGATATATAAAAAAATGACAGTTTCTATGCAAACTTTTAAAAATCACACAACCAATTCATGCATACAATTGAAATAAAAATACCCAATGGCTCAGTGCTATAACTTATATACCAGTGGTGTTAGTAGAAACATAAGTATATAAAAATTGAGGTTCGCAATAAACGCTTACCAAAATGGTATCGGCTAACGGATATATTCCACGTTCCATATATCTGAAAACTTATTTCACACTTCATAGGCTCTAAACAAAATTATTACAAATACGTAAGTAATGTTTTTTTTATTCTTTATTATAAAAAGTGTACAAAAGGCGAGCTTAATGCCATATGGTAGTCTCTAGCAGCTAACCTTTAGAATTAGTAAATGTTGAATGCAATCATAGCGAAAAGCTGTGGTATATTGCCACAAAGGGCATCTGAATTATTTAGACGATATTCCAAAAGTATTCTATAGTACTGCTAATCTTTAATGCCAAAGAAGATCACAGACACATAGAAATTGTCATGGGCACGGCTAAAGCAACCTGGTCGAAACTTCGAGAGAGGTATTTACCTTTATTTACCATAAAATTATTCATGTTAAACCCCGTTTAACTATTTTAATCACTATAATAATTACTACGTAATTATAGCCTGCTAATTAACAATTTCCTGGCTTGATATGGACATATGTTTTATAAAGTAAGTATTAATTTATAATTCACAATCATATGGTGACAAATACAAATATATCCTGTCATTTTATTTTATTGTATTGTATTTATAAAGTACTTTTACATATTATTGAGTGTTTTTTTCTATAGTTATATGATGCAAATAAAGTGTATTCCATCTATCAAATGGTATACGTTGAAATGTATCCTGAAATGAAACAATAATTACAAACACAAATATTTAATGTAACAATCATTTATGTAATACACACGATACGCTGACGCACTACACAACTTTATTTTCTAAATATAACATTAGAGATAATAGTTGGCCTCAAATAAAATTGGTGCACAAATTCTTTTGATTCTATAGCTAGCTACAATTGGTTTAAAATGAATTGTCGCCATTTTAGATGTCTCTAGTTTAGAGGACGCCATTTGCACATATGACGTAACATTACGTGCCCCTCTCCCCCTAACGTGTGAACCACTACATTTACATTGTTGTTTTGTTATAACAATTGTAAATGGTACAAATAAATTTACATTTATACTCTTAAAATAAACGCAATATAAATTATTTTAATACTGACATTTATATCGTGTTATATGATAAATATTCAATATTTCTATTATTTATAGACTTCATTCGAAATTTATTATTTTTCAGTTTTTTCCTCATAACTGCTTGCGGTCGTTAATATTATTATTATTATGTTTATCTTTCTATTACAGCATTGTTATAATGTGACTATTATTATTAAATAACACTGTTTTATTTCATTATCAACATTACAGAAATATATATTAATATAATACTGTATATACTGCAATGAGTAACTGTAATGAGTAACGTAAATTAGATATTGAATTTACATATTGAACATCTTAAAACTATTATAAAAGTTAAAAATGTAAATATAAATCATAATAATACGACTGCAAATAGCAATAATATTAAATACCTGTCGTATCGTGCGTAATTTTTTATTGGACAATGAAATAACAATTTATTAAACATATTATAATTAGTTGGTCAGTACGACACGTAGCCTCTAACCTATAATAACGAAGATTATCGAGAAAATAATATGTATAAATAAATAATAATAATATAATTTGCTGTTTTAAATAATTCTTGTTCAACATTATGCTCTATGCGAAAACCAATCCATCATGATATCTAAAGACATCAACAATATTGTGCCATCGATAATAAGATAAACAATAGCGTAACTATATATGTGATCATAAATATAGCAATGCTATGCTACATATAAATAAAAAATCCTGTACAAACGGCTAATATACATACTTAAATACTTTTGTATTATTCTTAATGTAATACATAATATATTTATTTATTTTGTAAAATATTTTTATTTCTATTTTTTACTTATATTAAATATTTTATTGTTGTTAAGGCAATCTACAAAGCGCTATCGCTTAATGCACTCCGAATTGACGGTAGATTTTGACATATCATAAGAGTCTGTATTTGACCTACATGAATAAAGATATTTAGATTTGATTTGATTTGAAACATAAGTATAAATAATTACTTCTAATAATTATAGTATTTGCGATAAGGTTATATTTTCGCAAAACAAGCAAACTTTAAAGCGAAACTAATATTCGCACATGATTTTACTTATTTTGTTTTTATGATAAAATTCAATTTCTGCATATTTTACTAGTTTTAGAAACTACATTTTTAGAAACATATTTACATTTAATTTTCATTTCATTAACATAGTGTGAAACCGCTGTCGTGGTTACTTCAAATCCTATACACAGAAAGAAATAGTAGCTGCTATTGTACTTATTTTTAAGCTTTCACATTTGGTACACATCATTAATGTTAAACAGGTTTTAACACGATTAATTTTATGGTAAACAAAGATGTATTCACGGTTAGCTCGTGACCACAGCTAGTGTAACCTAGTCGAATCGTCGAGAGAGGTAAACACCTTAATTTACCATAAATTATTCGTGTTAAATCCCGATTAACTATTTTAATAAAGCCGCTTATTTGATGCCAATAAAGGTACAGAATCCTGCAGTTCCTTTGTGATTGCCAAGTCAAGGATTTCAAACGTAATTAATTATTTAGTAATATAAAATGACTCTTCCGGCTAACGTTGTACTCGTATACGTATATATATATATATAGCCGACAGTTACTATATATCATGAGCTGCCAGCCTGTTTGCCATTACAATTAAAAATTCAGACATTCAGTTGAGTTTCTTGCCAGTTCTTAATCGAATCTGTATCCTGAATTGGATTGTAGGGAAAATATATGATAATAAAAAAGTTGACGTTCATAAGATAGTAAAATGTCTTACATTAACAAATTATTAGATTTTGCTGCCTTTTGATTTTAATTGTATTTGTAGGTTTAAGTATTATTTATAAGGACACTTCAGGTATCTTTGGACACTATAATTAATCTGAATTGTTTATATCCAAAGATAAAGAAAACAATTGTCATACCTAATTCGAGTATTACTATAAATGATAATATATGAAGATAAGTTATGTATAAAGTAATTAAACAATATCTGACGTACTTAAACATGAAGGACAAGCAAGATGTGGCTTACAGTAAATTATAAATTCGAGGCACTAAATCAGTCTACACAATATTGTATACTTACAGACCTATTCATTACTTATCTAATAGCATGGTATTAATAACTTCTAGATAGCATGCAAAGATTTATAGTTGCATAAAACTACACAACACTTAATACATTTATGTTATACATCTTTGGAACAATGTACTAATTATTTCTAACTATAATGTTAAAATTATAATAGCCTAAAGCTAGACAAATTATCAACACAACAACAAAATAAATAGTTATATTAAACATGCATTTCATTACTAAACATGGGACTAGACAGATCAGTAATTCGATTGGAACTTTTGATAGACAATTAATTGCTATTAAAAAATACAATAGCAGTAAATCTAATATTAATGAATTTCCTATATTAATTAAAGCAAATATAAGCAAAGATATAGAGGCAAGAATGAATGAAACAAATACATTCGGCATCACTAATCTAAGTTTAGTAGCATACATATAAATAAATTTTGTCGCTAATTGAGATACGGAGCTAATACTCTGTTTGCAGTTTTATTCGAGCCCTGATATATAGTATATTAAATTAAATACAAAAAATTACAGCAACTCTTACTTTTTGAAGCATCAAACTAATAATATTAAAAACAAACACAAACTTCACAATTATTTACTTGGCTAATTTAATATTAGTACATCACGAAAACTTAGAGTCATCATCAGGTGATGCCAAGGACCTAGGTTTGAGGTTGTTGGCCTCCATAGAGGAGCTACTTCTCTCTCTTTCTCTCGATTCACCACCCATAGTTCTATTGGTATATGTGGATGATGTAACAGGAATTTTGCGAGTTTGTTTAATCTTCAATTTATTTAGCCAGAGATCTCTCGTTTTTTTATTGAACACAACAATAAAAATAAATAGCACAAACCCTTGTAAAGTTACAGTGCAAGTGAAAAAGTATGCAGCTACGATATTGTTAGCAAAGAGGCCAAATATCCAGGGCAAACCGAACAAAAACACAAGCAAGCAACTAACAGATGCACATCTCAAGGCGTCGTTTGCATCTCCGTGCCTCTGAATCCTTCTAGAAGCAAACACGGAGCGAACTATCAAGATAAATAGTGTCCAGTTTGCTAATAGCATAACTGCAACAGGTGCATAGACAGCCAACCATAGGCCGAGTCCTGAAGGATAACAAAAATTTCCACTGGGAGACTTCTCTTCATATTGTCCCGCGTAAGAAAGCGGATCGACTGAAAGAAGAACACCCACCACCGCAAAAGGAGCTCCCCAAGAGAAAGCTGAAGCTTTTAAAAGCTTATGAGACATTTCTCTAGTAAAAACTAAAACTAGCCTTCTGTACGATATTATAGCTGCTACCAACATCCAACAGAAGGAGGCCAAAACTGAATAATGTAACATTACACCTACTAGCATACATGGAACATCATATCCGTCAAATTTCACAAACACTACTATTAGAAAACAAAGTGATATGAGAAATATCGCAAAACACAGTTGAAGCCAAATTTTATTGCTGAATTCTCTTCTCCATGCTCGAAACATAACTGCTGTAAGTAGAATTAAAATTACACCAAACATAGAAAGACAACATCCTACTATAGATAATATTTCTAGTACATCCTCATTGCGTTGTGAAAATAGTGTACGTGGAATGAGAACTTCAGCAAAGTGAGTCAGATGGTTACATCGGCAAGTGTCCAATATTCCGAACTCGGTAGATTTAATGAAGGTGCAGCCTTCCGTGGACCAGTATCCGGTGCCATTTTCTATAAACTTCCAGTAGGCGCATGTGCGACTATTGTTGCGGTCAGTTTCTTCTATCAAAGGAGTCAGGTGAATATCTATCACCTAAGAAATTACACATGTATATTTACTCATTAAAAACTAGATAGTTTTTATAATTTTGGTACAAAAATTGTTCAAGACAGTTTGAACATTGTTATTTCTATAATAGACAAATTTAACAGTTACATTCAAACTAACTTGAGAGCTTTGTCTGAATCAATTTATTATATTTTAAAGAGTTCCTTGTTTATATTATATAATAAATATATTGTAACCCTGTAATATATATCATTGATTATTCTTTATAAGATTCATTTCTACTAGTCAAAAACCTGAAGTCCTTGGACATGAAATTGTGTTAAGTGTTTAATACATTCTATTACACAAATATTGATCGTTTTTTTATTAATTCTTGTAATTCGACTTACCTCCCCATTCTCAAAAGTGGTCATATTCCCAACATTAACGCTGACAACTTTGCTGTTTACTATTGCAGCGTTTCTGGTGCAGCGAAAGGCGCGCTCGTTCCTAAATATGACGAAACTGAGCCGGCGAGGTATACTTGTCACTGATTCAGGCAAGTACACGACGGCTTCACTTTTATTAGCCATCAAATGGGTGGTGTTTATTTCTTCTAAAAAAATGTAAAAGAACTTTAAAATAATACAACAATAACTTCATTAGAAGCTACTTCTAATATATTAATAATATTTTATGAAAACTTGATATGAGAACCATTGATATAATAATTAGATATCTAGTGCATGTATAGGTATGTACATGTATGTTATTTAGCATTGAAATACCGTATATAAATAAATTTGATTAAACTCTAATTAAAATATGCAAAGCATGGGGTAATAATTAAATATAAAAAATAATCAAAAACAAAATTATGGAAAACAAATATCTTATTAAGAGACCTTGTTGTAAATAAGGATAATTATATTATCAAATTCCATAGTAATAATTTAGTGGAGCACTAATATTATATACCTTTATTTAAGACTAGCGACCCGCTCTAACTTCATTCAACCGTATATTTGTATTACAATTTTACACACAAATTATTTATATCTAAAGCTTACCGGCCAAGAATTGAAAGGTGTCACCGGTAAAATTACTATCCAAATCGGTATTGGCAAGCCTAAATCCTCTAACAGGATTATCTGGCGCAGCATCAGCTACCAGCAATGCTATATTATTACGGACTGTTGCACCCGTCGATGACCCATTCAAGTACAATTTCGAGCCGAGATCATCAAGCATATGTAGTAAAGTACCGGGAATTTGTAAATCTTGATCTATGTCAAATAACTCGTTTACCTGTAAGAATACCAAACGTCTATCATTAAACAGGTTAGACTATTGGTTGGTAAAACTGATAATAGGGTTGTACAATAAGATTATCTTTTAGTATCCTTGAAAAAAATCACCGAAATAGAAAGAAAAAGATAAAACTAATATGATAGAACTAGCTTTTACCCGCGGCTTCGCTCGCGTTAATATTCCCCCTTAGGTGTGGAATTTATTAAAATGCTTTTATAGGCGATGCCTACGTCATAGTAGCTTTATGCATGCAAAGTCTCAGCCCGATTGGTTTAAAATTGACAAAGTTTCATACAAACTTTCATCCCCTATTATCCCTTTATGGGAAGAATTAATCAAAATCCTTTCTTAGCGGATGCCTACGTCATAACATCTACCTGCTTGCCAAATTTTAGCCCGATACGTCCAGTGGTTTGGGCTCTGCGTTGATAGATCACTATGTCAGTTAGTCGGTCACCTTTGAGTTATATATATTTAGATAAAAACAACATTAAATAAAAATATACTTAATATGTTTGGTAAGTTGAATCCACTCGAATAAAATTTAAAAACAACACTCACCTGATCGAAGGTTTCTTCTATCTTTTCTACTGTTATTTGTACGCTATCATTTTGAAGCAGTGTATCCAAGTCATTTAACACCTGTTCAAGCTGTTCTTCAGGCTAAACAAAGTCAAATGTATTATATTTCAAACAGATTTTACTTAGAACTCTAATAGGATGGTTGTATACTTAAATAGTACGAATTGATTTTCAGATGCTAAATGATTTTTTTTTAAATATAGTAACAATATAATCTTATAGAACATGTTATCGCATTATTAAGTATATGTATGTATCGTATGTTTATATTTTATTATATATATTAATAGATATATTTTTGTATTCATTTCACTGCACCATTTATTTTCTTATAAAGCTACTTAAGTGAAGAGAAGAATAAGAGTATCAGTTTATGTATTATATCAGCAATGAAGAGTTTAAATAAAAATAAAAATAAATAAAAATACAATATAATCTTATTTTTTTTAATAAAAACAGTAATTATCTAATATTAATGAATGAGAATTACATGTTAAAAATTACGACAAAACATAACATTTTAACTGGAGTATATATTATATTCAATTTGATTAAATTATTTATATGTGTATACTCAATATTATATAACAATGCACTAGTATTCAGGGGGACCAAGCATAAAAATGGTCCCTGACATCTTGTAGTTACTTTATTTTCTGTTACAATAACATATCACATCATATGGCTTTTATAATTGCCTGTAGCCATAACATCACATGCACAGCACACGAAATTAGGATGAAACATCTTCTAATTAATGGAAGATTAATGTTTGTCAAACTGTAATTAGATCAAATGTAGACGACAAGTGACAAGAGGTTTTTAATATAATTTGTAATTCGGATCTCTAAGGCTTTGAACCGCTAATGTAAGTTAATACAGTTATTACAAAATCCCCTGTAATAATTCTTTTAAAAAACAAGATTCACTATAAATATAGTTCAAAAAGTACAAACATTTAGAATGTTAGTCATGGCAATTATATTATATTAGTAATTAGTAACGAATGATCAAACTATGATAACAAATAAAGAATACTTATGTTCACTAAAGATTTCACTCATAAGTATATATTTTAACTTACCGCCAGACTTGGTAATGTTGTTACAGGTATCACTGTTGTAGGTAGTGGTGGTATTATTGGTGGTGGGAACGGTCTTCTTTCCGTTGAAGTAATTTCTGTCGATGTATCAACCGTTGTATCTTCAATTGGAGTAGTTACTGTAGTAGTGCTCTCAATTGGTGTGAACACTTCATCAGTTTCTGTTATCGTATATTCGTAAGTAGAACTGGTAACCGTCGATACGTCTTCAGTTACAGTTGTTGAAGCATATGTAGTTTCCGTCAGTTCATAATCATTATATTCTTCTGAACTTGCTTGATCGCGTAGATTAAGCCGAGTTTGTATTGTCTACAATTGTTAATCATGTTAACAAAAATGAGTGTGGTTGATACAGTGATAAACTTGTGATGTTAGTTGTTGGTTAAAAGATACAATATATGAAGCATACAAATTCAGAGGCATAATTGATTCGCACATTTTACTTACTGTTAATTCTAAATCTTCAATTTCAAATGGAGGTAATGTTGATGTCGGTTCATTCTTTCTTACTTCAATAGTGAGACCGGTCATGGCTACAGAGGTGTTGATGATACAGTCAGGAGTCGCTTCTTCCACCAATGAAACACCTTCATCAAATTCTCCCACACACTTGTACGTGATACAATCCGATAAGGTGATTGACTTATCTAAAAAAGTTTAGGTTTGTGTTTCATATTAAAACATCTTATGTTCGAAACTACGTCAAGGAGTTGCAACCACAGTATGATTGTGCGTGGCAAAAATTTGATAAATAAAAGATTAATGTAGATCCTCTCTATCGTGCGTATAAAAGCGTGCGTCATCGAATAGAGAGAAACTATATTAATCAAGACAGTAGATAAAATTCTGTTACTGGAGGGTGGTGCGAAAATGGAATTCACCGCTTACTAGAAGTGTGTCCGTACGATTAAAATACGATACGATGTAGGTATTCTTCAGTATTCGTTCTATTTCTACTCAGAGACTTTGCGTCTCCCTAACACAAGCACGATGGCAATACTGCCAATCGACATTTAGCCGTAAATATTTACTTTTCACTCTACTCGGCTTATTCTATTATTACAGTAAATATAAAGGATTTTTTTGGTTATTCTGAAAATTTATAACAATTTTTAAATAACAGTCTTAGATTGTTCCAACGAATGAGCTAAAGACAGGTCCTTTTTCAAGTGAAAAGAGTTTATAAGGTTATACATAATTCTAAAACAAACATTAAAATGTGACTATTGTGAAACGAAACATCAATTGCCTAAAAAATAGTATAATAAGTTGTTTTAGAAAATTATCATAGTAGCACGTTTTATATAGATAAGGATAAGGGACATGCAGGATTAAAAAGTATTCTTTTTAATAATACAGGAAGAGACGAAAATAGCAGCTTATCGGTAATGTTAAGTCATGAGTGGTGACACAGGCATAACATAATTATGTGTTGTCTATAATCTTGTTTATGTAATATATAGACAAAGGTTAACGCTTACCATAAGATCAGCCGTCAGATTATTTGCCATTACAACTGCATAAAAAAACAATATATCCGTAACTATCTTAGACTTTATGTCAGGTTACTACTTACTGATGTGTCACCGTTTAACCTTTGAACCAGACTGGTGATTGGGAAATAACAAGATAATTACAGCATAGTACAAGAAGGTTTAATTCTTGACTACAACCAATTTTTGCATTGTATTTGGTAGCCCAAATTATAGTTTGAGCTAGACTACACTAGACTAGACTAATAAGCATGTCATGTCAATGAATGCAAAGTAAAAACAAGCAGAAATGGACCACTTGCATTCTACAATACGTTTACGTAATGGGCTATTGTATTGCATTGTGGAGTACATCATCATACAAGGCTCTACATGTCGGAATTTTCTCCTTTAAGGTCTTTGAGTTCAGGTCCAAATCCAAGTCACTCATCAACATCACCATCATCTTCCTCATTCCTAAAGATAAAAATATTACGGCGACCCCAAATAGATGGGTTATTTGGGGTCGGCGTAATATATTTTTCTCTTCGATTCATCCCTGTTCGCAGTCATCTCGTTATTTACCTTTCTTACCATATCACCATTCACACATCTCTACATCATGCATCTCATTTTCGGTCTTCCTCTATCCTTATAACCATTCACATTCCAAGTCACTGTACGACACCATGCGATAGGTGGTAAAACAAACATTTAGTTAATTTTTTAGGTTCGTTTCGAATATTAGTTGTACCTATCTTAAATATTGCATTGAGGTTATACGAAACTTACTTATTATTAGACGTGGCACTGTATTTCGTGAACTACAAATATGAACTGGTTTCATGAATAACACATCAGCATCCTCTAACTTTAACGGATTCAGAGGTATCATGTCTTCACGAACTTGCGCGTGGAACAGAATTGTTCGCATATCTATGTACATTCTTCTTATTTTGATATCCGAAATAACATCATTGTCATCCATATTTGAGTCGTTATTTATAATATAATCTTTTTCTAGTTCCGTGATATTTACGTTTTCGAAATTTTCAATGTTATATTTTGTCCTATAAACAATGTATCGTTCCAACCTCTCTTCCCAATTGTCTTTGATCATATCAGCATTATCAAATATATATGCATTTTTAAGGCGGATCTTGATGGCATATCTACCAAATAGGTATTTAGGACGCAAAAAGAGGAGTTTCTGTGATTCGGTTTCTTGCAAGTTTTCTGGATCAATATGAACACACCAATAATGACCATCATAATCAGGGGAAAGTTTGTATATGTTGTAATCGCTGATGTTTTTCTTTTTATCATGAATTTTAACTTTGGTCGGATAATAAGTTTCAGAGTTTGTGTAACAATGTATATTTCGTTTGTACACCGTATTATTAGTAATGACCAGAATTTTATCTCTGAAAAAAAAAATTAAGTGTATAGATACTGGTTTTAAAATGTAGCATTCATAATATCGACCGTGCTGGTTTCAAGCACGAATAATTAAAATCGCTATAACTGTTGAGCAATTGGACTGATTAGTTCATTATATATTGTAATTCTATTTATGAAATATAATTCTTATATTTTTCTATATACAGAAAAATAAGATTTTTAAAAATAGAAACAAAACCACCTTCACGACTGTTATCTCAGATGGAGAGATAATAATTTTTTTTCGTACTATACTAACGCTGTTGGCCGTAGCTGGCCCTTTACAACTTCACCAGACGATAGGAGGCGAGTGCAGATGGCGCACCAAACCCACGGAAGGACTTATGGAGCGGCTGAAGACCAACTCCCGCCTGTCTGATACGACTTTACTCTAAGGGTACCGCTAGGGGTTCGAATCTAGGCTTAGGTCGTCGTAATTTTGATCGCCGTTTAAATTGGACGGGGGTCGAGGCTTGCAGATGTAGAGTAGTCAGATGCATCAACTGTCGATATTTTTGATCATATTCCGCTCGATTTGTTTTGGAATCAAACGTGGCTTTTAGCATACTAACGTCTTTACTTATTGTGTTGTATATATCCGATGGTCACGGAGTCGATTCCTCGCATGGTCCAAACATTTGTATTCATGAGTATGATTGTTCGTATCGGTCTTGGTGATTTCTATATGTATTAAGAATACTTAATTAGATATTTTAGATCTGAAAATAAATATATTTTCATCTAAAATATCTTAATATTTATATCAGTTGTCTAGTATCCACAACACAAGCTCTGCTTATCATAGAACTAGAAAGCGCTGTGTTAATTGTCAAAGGTTATGTATTTATCTATGTTAGAATATACTCACGATTCTAGGGTTAGATTTAAAAATATATTCCTGCGTTGCACGGAATTTTCACAGATCACATCAAAAAAGATGACTGAGCTATTGATCTTCTCGATTTCCCAAAAGTCTCTCGTGATTGCTAAACCAGTGGTCTCATTGATGCCCGCCAGTCGTAATTTAGGAGATCTCTGAAATATTAATGTGAATTAATATAATTAGTTAGAAACATTTTTAATAAACCATCTCTCTAATGGTAAACAAATCCTAGAGCGAAATCGCCCAAAACAAACATTTACCATAGCACCGCTCGCCATCGACAGGGAATTTATGCCCACAGACTTTAACTTAATTGTTCTCGGCCGGTTTCAGAGGAACTCTCGCGTACACTTAGATTGTGGAATGAACCACCTGCCGAGGTTTTCTCAACATAGTACAGGATGGGGTTTTTCAAGAACGGCTTACCGACCCTTAAGAAACGTCAATATTTACAGCTATTAAGATTTCTTAAGGGTCCGCAAGGCGCATGTGATACCCCTGATGTTTCAGGCGACCGTAGGCTACGGTAAACCGTATACCATCATATGGGTCGTATGCTTGTATGCCACCTACGTAGTATAAAAAAAATCCATTGATGAGAATTGAAACTTGTATTTTTTATTTAGAAGTTATCTAGTGACTATGGCTACTATAATACTGCCAAAATAACGGAATATCAATAATAAATAATATAATGCATATATTTGATAGCCTCTGTGGTTTACCATACCGCTTTATTTACGATGGTCGTAGCTTCGATTCGTCGCATGGCACAAACATACGTATTCATGAGTATTTTAAAAGTATAAGCGATAGACTGCCGCGGTTACTTTGTTTTATACTATGAAAGAGTTATTAAATACATCGAAGGAAAAAAATAAGTGCAGCAATATTGGAAAAAGACTAAACTTACTAATATTATAAACGCGAATGTAGTAGGGCTGGATGTTTGTTACTCTTTCACGCAAAAACTACTGAACGAATTTTGATGAAACATCACAGTAATATAGCTTATATATCAGAATAACATATAGGCTATAATTTAAAAGGATATTATGTAAATCGGGCGAAATATCATATAAGTCAGATGAAGACAAAGTTGCTATACTTCAACATGCGATGAATGGATTAGACTTACCACAGGTATGGGTGATTCATTGGTCTTATGAAACATAGGAAAGTTCGCGTACTGTATTCCTTCGCTTAGCAATGATCCACCATTCTTTGTACAGAGCGCCTGCGACTGATTCCATGTCGCTCTAACAGGGCCTCCACCGTGCCCTGTCACATTATACAGACATAGGTCTCTAGGACTGATGAACCTCCAGGACTGATGGAATTCATTACATCCAGTTTTATCCATTGCAACCTCCGTATCAGGGTATGGTTTCACTATGCAGTACCTGTAATATTTCTCATCGCACCGTACAGCCCTGTAGTATCCAAATTGGTTTACTGTTAAACATAATTCCTGGTAAATGAAATCATAATCAGGGGTAAATGTCCCATTGTAGACTATTTTCTCTTCTGATGTACTGACAAACGGCCCTCCGGGGTAGGTTGACTTGTAATCAGCCCACACTCTGTCTACTTCATCGAATTTCGATATATTGAGACTGCGGTATAATATTTCAGTGTACATATTCCCATTGCAGTTCTTAAATTTGTCTGCGAACTCTTCCGGTTCTTTTTGCTTGTAACATACATAATTACCATTATCTCTATTGTAAACTAATTTGAATTCTATTGGACATACATATGGTCCAGATTTCTTCGTTTCTACTTGAACACCTACGACGAATAGAAAGACCGCACAAAATAAGGTTCGGTGTGGCAGACACATCTGAAATGAAAGAAAAAATATAATAAAGTTCGCGTCTTACACTGCAAAGGATTAAGAATAAGTAATGTAAAAAGATTTTAAATATTTTATTTATACTTCGTAGGTAGCAAACAAGCATACGGCCCATCTGATAGTAAACGGATACCGTAGCTTGAGGCCTTTTATATTGACGGCCTCACCATGGACATATAGTCCATGGTGAGGCCGTCATTTACGTGTTTTTATGTTATGTGTGTGTTTTGTATGGGTCTACACACAAACATAAACATCTGTTGTACACTACAAAAACCCTTTATATAAGTCTAGAAATAGCTTAAGAGCTATTTCTTGTTCTCTTATTTTTCTTTCATTTGTTATTAAGCTTATTTCAGACATCACAATTCGTCTCAGATAAGCTGATTCCTAAGTTCTCCGATCTAGTTTAGTGACCATTGTTCTAAAATTTTTATAATATCATAATGTTGTTGTCATGTATTTTATGTTCTTGTGGATAAATTAATTCATTTAATCACATAAAAAATGCATAGGATTCGATCGAATATGGCTATAAAATTTAACTATACTGTTATAACAAATTTACTTGAGGATAATTTGCACGCACACTGATACAAACAATTTTCTATTTTTGCTCTAATATCTATATGTGACATATATACTAGAACTAATTTAGATATTTTCCTCAGAAACTTTGGAGATAATGGAAGGAATGCTATTCATGAGTAGAAAAGTACGCGGAATATAATAAAATAATGGTTTATAATAATAGACCTTTCATGACACCACATTTAGGCTGGAAAGATTTGGAATGTTTTGGAATGTACAAATCAATCAATTCTTAATAATATTTTGTTTTTTATAGTATAGGGGACAAACTAGCTAATTGTTCACCTGATAGTAAGCGATTACCGCCACCCATAAGCACCCGCAATGCTAGGTTAATTGCAAGTGCGTTACAGACCTTTTAAAAAGGAATAAAATCATTTCATGAAGGTTTCAATATAGTATCGGTTCGGAAATTACTGGAAGGTGATTCCAAAATTATACGAGATTTAATTTAATCTAATTGGCCTAGTTCTTTTATTTTTGCACCCTCATTTCGAAGAACTTGAAAAATAAATAAACAAATATTTCTAGTATTTTTATTACTATTAAGATTGCACTAAAAGTTCGAAATTCTAAATTGATAGTCAGTCAGACATCAGTAGTTTCTAAAAAGTCAGTTCTTCTTGTCACAGATGGAGGAACAAAGTCAGACATACAAATTCCGTTTGACCTTTTTAGTAAAGTTTTTAGTAGTACCCTAAAATGTATGACGTGATATTTACTCTGTGATCTCCCCGCGTTTATCTAATCGATTACAGTAACAAAGCTTAACATAAACAACCGTAATTAACCACTTCACAAATATCCTGATATCCTGATATTAGCGCAACCGAATGTTTGGAAAAAGGAGTGGAATTGTGCATGTTATTATCATTTTTGTGATAATGGTAAACCTCTATTTAAGCCCTAATGAGGTAGGCAGTGACACTGTCATTTGTGGACGTCATACTTAATGCAATTTGGTATGCACACATTTCACTGAGTATTAAAAATACTAATTCAGTAGCAAGTTAGTAAGTTAAACCTAACGCCGTTTTTTCCGTTTTGGCTTATCATCATTATTGCCTTACCTTTATCCCATTATTTGCGATCGGCACAGTATGCCACTTTCTTCTTATCCCATCCCTATCGATCATCATATCTTTCCTTTTATATGTATTATCTTTCACACAATCCATCTTTTTTCAGTCGTCCTCAACCTTTACATCAATGTTAATTTTATATATTTTCTTTAATACTCGCTCGTCCGCATAATATAGCCATAACAAGCACAGTATGTGTCCTTCTTCTTATCGCTATCAGTCATCTCTGACTTTACTCTCCTTTTATACGTATCATCTTTCACACAATCAATTTTATTTTCTATCGTCCTTTGTCTTTACATCAATATTAATTTTTGGTACATTCTTTAATGCATGATACTCGCTCGTCCGCATAGCCATAAAAGTACAGAGACCTTCTTATCCCTATCGGCCGTCATATCTGACTTTACTCTCCTTTTATACGTATTATCTTTTACCCAATTAACACAGCCGTCCTCTACTTTTTTTTGTTCATTTTAAGTACTTTCTTGAATATATGGTTCTCGCTCCTCCGCATAATATAGCCGAACTAAGTCAAATCTGTTCAATTAAGTTACCAGTTATCTCGCAATTTGTCTATAACTGATGCAATTTTTAATCTATCAATCTAATCGAAAATTTTCAGATTATTTTGTTAACAAATATCTATATCTATACTAATATTACAAAGAGGTAAAGCCCCCACTGGTCACTGCAAATTAAGTAAACACAAAGCAAACTTAAGCCTGCGTTAAATGAAGATTTGCAGATTTTGCAAAGTGGAATAGAAAACGACATTACATATCCTAGCATACTAGTACGCTACTTTGAAATTTTGTGTACATTTCAAAAATTCCTCTATCCTGAAAAGATATAAACTATCGCTTCTAAGAATTTCCTTCAATTCTTGTCCTTGACAGGCCTAGGCAGTGAGGTAAGGGAATTATTAGTAATGTGGATTGACAATCTTATTACTAGCAATATACCATATCAGGTTGACCTTTACGCAGTTCCTCATGGAAATTATCGTGATAAATTCTTGGTGAATTTGTCATGATGGGCTAACTGACCTGACCTCATGCTCATCTTATAATCCTTCACTGGTACCCCGCCAGTGTAAACCATTAGCGTAGGCACTAACCCAGTAATAGAAGTTCCCATGAACGTCTGCAAATACCGTTAAGGCTGGTGAAAAACAATACAAAACAATACCCAGTTAGCTGTCGCCATGAGTTTACATCTTATGAGATATCAGCTTGCTCGTCATACCAAATATTAACAAAAACTTACCTTCACAACATTGAAACAAGTTCAGTGGATTTTTCTTCAAGTTTCATTTTATGTAAGTCTCATCATTCTCCCATTAGGGCCTATGGGGCCGATCTTTATCACTGTTAATTCCGCTTTGCAGTAAATCTGTAAAAAGATTAATTATCTATAGTATATATGTACGAAGAAATAAAAATGAAGTGTCTGTTTGTAATTTCAAATTAACAGATTTTTACTCATTTGTCTTAAATTTATGTGTATCTGTGCTAATCTCTGAAGCGGCTAGACCTATTTCGCAGATAGAGTTAATTTTAAAAGAGTAACTTGAGCGCGAATTGTTTTTTATAGCATAAGGACTAAACCCGCTTACGGCTCGCGGGATGGTAAGTGCAACCGAGACCAATCTTTTAATAGGTTTTTATATCTTTCAGTTACAATTATATTTATCATCTGCTTCTTCCTTATCCCATTTATTTGTGGTCGGCGTAATATTTTCTCTTCCATTCATCCTTGTTCGTCAATCATCTCGTTTTTTACTCTCTTTTATACCATATCATCTTTCCCACAGTCCATCCATCTCTTTTCGGCCTTCCTCTGCCCTCATAACCATCCACATTAATATGTGGTGTAGTTACAGTTTTATTATATGTACAAATTACTTAAGTGGTCACGAATACATGACAGTTAAGTGTAAATATAAGTACTATCGTTTGATGTCAAACGCGTAACAAATTACAACTGATAAAAACAAGCGATGCGACATAATTATTACCTTGTCGTTTGTAAAAGTGGTTACCTCGGAGCGTATCAATGTCATGCTATCGTTCATATCTACGCGTATAATATTACACAATACATTTTTTTTTTAATCTAAATTTGTGCGCGTTTCATCGCAATTTTATATTTATTTTATTTATACTTTATTGCACCAATTAGAGAACAAAAAAAAAAACAATTAAAATAGAAAATATACCTTGATACAAAAGACGGTATCGCCAAAGATAACATAATATTACATAGTATCGCTAAGCAATCTCTTCTATATAGGATAATTTTTTTTTTTATACTATATGGAAATTTAGATAAGCAAATTTAGATAAAAAAAAAGCTTATTAAGCCTAAAGGTAATCCATTAGGTGGATAGAGATTTCTTTAGAAAAATAAGTTTATCACCTTTAGGTGGATAGAGATTTTATTAGAAAAAATAAGATTTTTTTTATCTAAATTAGCTTATCTAAATATTTTTAGAAAAATAAAATTTCCAATCTATGATGTTAAGCGATAAGTCTAATATTAATACTAGATTTAAAGACAAACTTGTTGTCACAAAATATCGTAGGTATAAAATTTCATTACCAAAGGATATATAATTTTAGTCAAATCATATTTACTGACACCTATATAAATATATATTGTAAATTAACTGGCTTTAAAAATAATCAATTGAGATAAGTAATTGAGCAAGTTTTTGTTTAAACTGTTACACGCAAGCTCAAATAGCTCTTCGCTCATGACTTGAAAGACCCAATGTTGTAAGAGGCAGGTAAGAATCTGTCTTTCCTGCGAGAGAGTTCCACTCCTTAGCTGCTCGCAAAAGAGGGAAAGATGATGCAAAACTGTTGGTATAAGCAGCTGATGGATGTTAACAACGTATGGTTGGAGTTGATCTCTACGTCTGTTGTATAGTGCTGGACAGCTATGACAATCTACTGCGGCTGCGCGCCGTCAAATTATGTAATATTATGTTATCTATGGTCCAATATAGTATCTGTGGCGCATTACGTTTTGCGCGGGAAAATAATAAAGAGTACCAAACTACTTCTACGACAAACTTACTAATTTGTGGTGCTTTCATTCTTAATTGTATTACACTGTTATATAATTTTATATGTCTGTGATTTATTTCTAAAATAAACTATCTATATACACAACAACCCGAATATAAATAAAAGCCTAGCTAATAATAATCTTACTTCTATAAATAAGGATATATCAAAAACGTATTGACCTCTTTGCGGTAAGATAAAATTCAAATTATTTATTTAAAAGAGCAACACAGAAGTTTCT